GGGAGGAGGAGGAGGAGGAGGAGGAGGAGGAGGAGGAGGAGGAGGAGGAGGAGGAGGAGGAGGAGGAGGAGGAGGGGCCGAGGAGGGAAGGACGCGAGGGGGCACCCTACCCTTTGGAAGGCGGCCCATCCTTGCTGTGCGGGTCGGCAGCAGGCCGGCGAGCACCGGCGAGCCAGGAGAGTGCACGGAGCGGGCGAGGGGCGCGGCCGATGCTAGACCGTCCCACAGGACTGCTCTGTAGTGTTGTGTCGGGCGTGCCCTCCTACGGGCGGATTTTGGAGGAACAATTTAAACATTATCCAAAGATATCCAAAAATAGTTTTACCCCCCTCCCCCTTCCCAACAAAAAAGTCCTCAGACAAGTTCCTCTATGTTTGAATATTCCTCCTGCAGAGGGACATGCCCGACTTAACCGTAGTGTGGCATGGCCGAAGGCAGTATTGGCTGAGCCTTCGTGGAACCCGAGAAAACACGTCGGGGAAATTGTCGAGATCTGTCCGCGTCGAAGCCGCCTTTACGCAGCCAAAAGCATTTCGGGTTGTTCACGAAGCGGGCTGTTCATCAAACAGGCGTGGACGATTATTTCACAGAACCCGAGCGGTGGACCTCACAGCGCCTATGGGCTGCGCGGCGTTGATCTCCCCAGTATGATTCAAGAACCGCTGCCCTCCACGACGAACAATTCTCAGGATCGTCCAATCAAGGGGGTTCTGGGACAGGAAGCCCCCCTCACTGGAGCCCAGGATGGAGGGGGGAGCGACCTGGAACTGGTAAATCAATCGCCGACAGCTCGGCAACAGACCCCGATAGCGAAATCGCACGTTCCTGGGCACGGTGGGCCATTCTGCAATGTTCGCGCCCCCGGGGTGAACATCCTCAGCAATCATACGATATTCGCGTCTCCGAGGTCACGATCCCTGGTATATCATACAGTGTTCGCATCCCCAGAACGACGAACCCTCGTAAACTGCGACGTATTCGCGTCCCCGAGGCTGCCAGGTCCATATCAGCGATGAATGGGCGATACTTGGGAGTCGATGCCGCCCCCCCCCCCCTGGGCCTCCCCCCCCTCGTTGCCCTGTGGCTTTCGGGTCGTGACTCGGCTCTCCCGCGGCGCCCCGGGCGACCCCGGCACCGCCCAGAGCGCCTTCGACGGGGCGCAGCTGCGGGAAGCCGCCCCAGGCCTCAAAACCACTTCAGAACGCCGGCCTGACGCTGCCCCCGAAGGATACCACGAAGCCCCTGACTGCGAGGCGGGGACCTGTCCACATCCACCACCTGGGAACCGACGTCCTGGTGCCCCAACGGACGGCGGATATGGATGCAATTTGGACCCCCGGGGCCCGCCTCTGTCCATGTCCACGGCCTGTGGAGGTCCGCGAGGATCGACCCCCCAGGCAGTGGTTATGGATCAACCCCCGCCTCGGACTGCTCCCTCCTCCTCCTCCTCCTCCCCTCCTCCATCCATCCTCCTCCTCCCCCATCCCCCTCCTCCTCCTCCTCCCCCATCCCCCTCCCCTCCCCTCCCTTCCCCTCCCCTCCCCTCCCTCCCTCCCTCCCACCCGCGGCCGCCCGGCGGCGTGCCGCCCTCGTCCCGCGCGGTGCCCTCGGGAGCGCCGCGCCAGGGCCGCGGGGCCGCCCCCCGCAGCGGCCAGCTCCGCGCCGAGGCGGGGCGCTCTCCTTCGGCGGCGGGGGGCCGCGGCGGGGCGCGCGGGGGAGGCCCACTGTGGGCGCCCCTCGGCGCAGCGCACGGCCGGATGAAGCAGCGGCGCCGCCCTCGGCCTGCTCGACTGCGCTCGCCCGCGCTCTGCTGCGGTATTTGGCAGCGCGCGCCCAGGGAGGAAACGAGCAGGGGCGGGCCTCCTCAGAAGGTTCGGAGGTCCCCCTGTCGTCTGAGAAGTTTGCGGAGCCTCCCCAGAAGGCTCAAAAACACGTCTCGGAAGGCGCGAGGGCTTCTGAGAAGTCCCGCCTTCTGGAAGTCCTGCCCCTCTTCACTCCCCCCCCTCGCTCGCCGCCGAGACCTCCTCCCTCTCCTCCTCTCCTCTCTCCTCCTCCTCCTCTCTCCTCCTCCTCCTCCTCCGCCTCCTCCTCCTCCTCCTCCTCCTCCTCCTCCTCCTCCTCCCTCCTCCTCCTCTCCTCCTCCTCCTCCTCCCCCTCCCCCTCCACCGCTCCCCCTCCCCCTCCCCTCCCACTACACCCCTCCCCCTCCTCCTCCTCCTCCTCCTGCCTCCTCCTCCTCCTCCCCTCCTCCTCCTCCTCCTCCTCCTCCTCCTCCTCCTCCTCCTCCTCCTCCTCTCCTCCTCCTCCTCCTCCTCCTCTCCCTCCTCCTCCTCCATCCTCCTCCTCCTCCTCCTCCTCCTCCTTCCTCCTCCTTCCCTCCTCCTCATCCTCCTCCTCCTCTCCTCCTCATCCTCCTCCTCCTCCTCCTCCTCCTCCTCCTCCCTCCTCCTCATCCTCCTCCTCCTCCGCCTCCTACCGCACATACTCCCTCCTCCTCCTCCTCCTCCCTCCTCTCCTCCGCCTCCTCCCTCCTCCCCTGCCCCTCCCCTTCCCCCTCCCCCTCCCCTCCCTCCTCCTCCTCCTCCTCCTCCTCCTACCTCCTCCTCCTCCTCCTCCCCTCCTCCTCCCTCCTCCTCCTCCTCCTCCTCCTCCTCCTCCTCCTCCTCCTCCTCCTCCTCCTCCCCCTCCTCTCCTCCTCCTCCTCCTCCTCCTCCTCCTCCTCCTCCTCCTCCTTCCTCCTCCTCCCTCCTCCTCCTCCTCCTCCTCCTCCTCCTCCTCCTCCTCCTCCTCCTCCTCCTGACACGCCCTCGGACACGTGGGCGCGAGCGGCGCCCACGTGTCCGAAGCCGCCCGCCCTGTGCCTCTCGCGTCGCCTGCTCGCCCGCTCTTCCCCCCATCCTCTTCCAGCCTGCCTGGCACGCGTGCGCCCAC